GCAAGCCTTCCCCGGTCCCACGGGCGCCGCCAGCTTGGGGTGAGAGGGCAAGCGGAAGCGGCGGCGGAGCCCACGTGACGCGCCGCCCGTTGCCATGGCGCCCGGTGCCGCCCCCGCGGCCTATGCCGGGCCTGAGGCGCCCCGGGGCCTCGGCCCCGCCGTGCGGGGTGAAATAGGCGTAACGGAGCCCTCCGGGTACGGCTCCCGTTACTAAAATCAGGTGTATAACCTGGGGGAGAACCTTGAAATTATGTCCTTGTCTCATTAATTAAGGAAAGGTAATTGCGTCCCTTCTCCATATGACTCCACCTATGTGCAGTACAGCTGTTGCACATCACACCAGGCAGCGGAAGGACTAGAGAGAAAACAATTACAGTAGTAGTTAATAGATCCAGAGGTGCCCTACCACAGGCTCATTACAGCCCATTAATGGTATTACTGAATCAAATTTAACGAAGGCTTTAAGTATAGGCTAGAGTAAAAAAAATAAAAAGAAAAAAGCAAAGAAACAAACAGCTTCTAATAAGTTTAGTAATGCTGTCAAAAATCATGCTTATGGAAAAAATTTAATCGTATTTTATATTCTTATTAATCATTCTCGTTCTTCATTAATAACGTGCGACGCTAGCCGTGTGGTTGTGGTGACTGACACGGACTGCTCTGCCCGCCGCTGTGCCTTGTTACGCTAAGTCTCTAGGTAACCACTTGAAAAAGAGGTTATTCAGCCATAATTAAAGACATCCTTAAACTCTAGTGATTTATTTCAATGTACTTTTCAGATTAAGTCCACTCTATCAAAAATAAGCACACCTCATCACAGTATTTTGTATCATCAGAATATTAGCAACTGTTGAGAAAAAAGCCCTACTAATATGGCACACGGAAAGAGTTGCCTGTTAAAGTAATGAGATGAATAACAAAGTTAAAAACTTGTATTTGAGAAAACACATACAGATAATAATTGTGAAAATAAGATTGCACAAACAATATTTTGCATAGAGTACAACATTGTCTTGTTTTCCGTTTATGGAAAATATAGTTAAGAATAAAAAAATCACGTTTCAAACTTCTTTACATCTGGATAAAAGTTAAGACTATTGAATGACAAACTATTGAACATTTACAGATTCGGAGAGTCAGAACTATTCCATTTCCATGATTGCAGGCACAGAAGAAAAAGGGCGCAGATTAGTTGTACCCTAATCAGTACGTTATTGCATTGCCCATAAAGACCATTTTTGTAAGCTCCACGTGTCCAATTTAACATTGTCCTGATGATGTGTCCCAGAGACCCATATGGAATTCCCCAGCTAAGTTTTAACCTTCCCCTTTGAAGCCCAGGACCCACCAGGCACTTGCACAAGCATATACCCGAATTTTTTGCAGCAGTTAGAGCCTCAAGAACACCTTGAGAAATGGTTCATTCATTTGGGATTTTTTGGTTTTCTTCAGAAATGGATGGAATTTTATTTTATTTTATTTTTTAATCGAGCTTGCATGAAACCTTAAAAATAAATGATTCTATTTCTGACTTTCACGTTATTGCATGTCTGGCAGAAATAAGGCTTTTGAGAAGTAGCAGCAGCTTCACAGATTTCAGATCTACTCAGCTTTTCCCATAAGATCAGACAGCAGTAGCAACCATAAAGAAACCCAAAAGTGTATCTAGTAATGCCAAGAAAATGGTCTCATTTGTCTTTACTACAAACATAGGTTCTTCAGAATATTATTCCTTGCATGCATTTATTGCACAATCCAACAATATATCCAACTATCCAAGTATTTATAATTATAAGAAGAAAAGGTCATTTGAAATTCAATCATTGCAAAAGCCTCGTTTGCCTGCCACGTCAGCTCGTTCTGCCTAGCGGCACAGCTTCACTTAAAGAAAATGTAACATTTAAGGACCAGTAGCATGGAATGGATCTACTAGTCTCTAGATTATGGTTACTCCATAGTTCGTGCAACACAAGACTAAGCTTGAATTTCAGAGCCATACAGCAGTCCTGCTTATTCATCTTTGGAAGACCTTTAAGCAATATTTTCTATAGCTAGATTCCTTAAAAAAAAAAAAAAAAAAAAAAAAAATAGGGTTGCGCTACTGAGCTAAGGCACTGCTAACCCATCAGGTTAAAACATGACATGTAAGAATAGGTTGAAAAATGAAAATCTGGGAGTACTCAAAGTCAATAACGGCTTTCCAGGTGTTAGAAGTTACTTTTTAAAAAGCGTATCTGAGCCTAAGACAATACCATAATTGTATCTATTGATCTGCGTTATAGTGGTCTGCAAATGAAACCACAATTCCAGTATCACTTTCTCTCCGTTCGAGGTTTGTTTCCCAGCTGCTCTCACAAAGACACTGTAAGACAGTACGGGGCATGGCTGGCTGGACGTGGTTCCTGAGGTTCTGCTTCTCACTCCGAGTGAACGTGCAATTCATCTCTCCACGATCCAGTGTGGCCTCATAACCAGAGAGCCATTCCTCTTAGTCAGTGGAGGAGAGGCATGCATTGCATTACTTGACACATAGACTGCCTCCCTTGAGGCATGCAGCCAGCTTCGCTTCCTTTTTAGATTTCCTACAAACGCTCTAAGATACAAAAACTCCATTCTCAGGAAGTTTTCCCTGGTCAAGTCTCTGGAAGACACTGTTATCCTGACCAGCTGGTCCAACACCTCGTTCTTCTTGTAGCTGGATAACTCTTTGAGGTTGATAGGCTTTGACCGTGCATAAAGAATCCGAAATTCCAAGTCAAAGTGTGCAACCGCAGGGCCTGACAGGATCAAAATGTTACTGCTGTTCAGCTTCCCATCCGTCCACGTAAAACTAGCAAAGGAAGAACGAGAAAACTGAGTTAATTCAAGACAAGTAGTAAACAAGTATTAATTGAAAATTCCTTTTCATCACATTTAGTTAAATTGTTCTTACAATCCAAATGATGAGCAGTGCGATTTTTTTAGGACAAACTTTACAAGTAAACCATGATAAGGAAAGCAGTTTTGCAGTGTGGGCTACACTTTTCCTTTCCATGTAAAGAAATCATGTAAAGCAACAGGAAGAAACTGGCACTTGCCTGTAGGAGCCCGTTGTCACTCTAATGCCATCAATTAACATGAACTTTTCACGGACTTTTCCAACAATTTTGGCACCCGACCTCGTGTAGTACGTTTTCCCAGTGATATTTCGAATTCTCATCAACTGTTAAAGACACAGCAAGCGTTATGCAGATTTCAAAGTTCAACGATTGCACTGAAAAGGATAACACACACTAACGAGCACTGGTGAACCAGCAAAGGATGCTGCACAGTGGCACAAAATTCATCTAGGAACCAAATGATAATTTTGTCTTGTTCTCCACAGGCATTAAGGGGCAAACCCACAAACTGACTGAGCAGAATGTGACTGTAAAAATTCCTGTCACCAAATCTTGGAGGGACCCGAACTCCACAGATTCCCGAGAATCTGCTTCTCCATCAGCCTTCAAAGTCTCGGGTGAGCCTGAGCAACTCCAGTCACGCACTAGGAACTGGTCATTCTTCCTGCATTCCTTGAATACTCAATTAGCATTTGTGCTCAGAAAACAACTGTAACATCCACTTACAAAGACTTCAGTTTTTCTATTAATTGCCGCCTTAGGCAAGAACAGTTAAATCTCCCAAGAAAGAGCCAGACCTACATAAACCCCATTTTAAATTGTGGCAGCAGGTGTAACAATTTCTTCTTTTGATAGTTCAAAGACTTCAGTCATACAAGGATCAATGCTCTACCCCTATAAATATGACAAGACTCACCTTTTCCTGTTCCAGGTCAACTCCCAGATCCTTGCACATTTTCAGAAAGTGGGAAAATGAAGACTGATCTAGAAGGATATATGCTTTAACTCGTCGCTGGCTACAAGCTTCCAAGAGGTCTTTGAAGATATCAGTATCTGTGAAGGAATCCATAACCAGGGCAATCATCTGCAACAAGTTTCAGGAGAAATCAGTAGCCTGTTTCCACAGCACCCCAACAGAGATAGCACATGAGAAATTTGACTTTCAAATTAAATACCCCCCCTCCCCCCTCTTTTCTTTTTTTTTTTCCTGGTGGTTATGGAACATTGTAGAGTCTTCTGTGATACGGTATATTCTTCTGTTGTTCACAGGATTGCTGAAACATTTAACAGACAGATGATAAACAGAAGAGAAAGGAAAAAATAACTCTGATTAGAATGAAGTTCTGTGAAAAGAATGGTATTTTGGTAAAGGTGATTACTGAGTGCAGTACCCTGAGGTGCAGGAGACACAATACACTTCACCCCTTTACTACAATCACTTATTCATGTCCCTATATAGTTAAATAGAAAAAAATACATTGAATTTATGGACAGAAATTGTTAAAGATTATTTGCCCAAATCTTGTTGTCACTTGACTGATTTATAGCAGATAACATCATTTAAGATTTTTATTATTGCATTGTGGAATTTTGTTTTCACCGTAATTTCAGCAGCAGACATTGAAGCTTCTTTTGCCACGATCTGTATTGGTTTTGGTTCATTAGGTATGAGTGACCTAGGCCTGAAAGCCTATTGTGGAAATACACCTTTTCTCTATTTAAAAATCAGAGTTCATCACTAATTAGCAGCAATGATAGCTCCTGCATCTGTCAGTAGCACATTGCTCATGGTTTTTAATTAAGGTTGTACTAAACCCTTCCCTTTTTTACAACATAATTTCACCTTCAAGAAAAAAATTACAGAAATCCGAGTACTTTCTCCCTTTCCCCCACCTCTAGAGCAGTGCCGAGTCCTACGAAGGCAGAGGGAGACATGACACCTCTCCAAACACCTAAGTGAGCTGATAAAAACAGTGTTTTGTATGAGGAAAAGAAAGACATTTTGCTGTCGGTCTTCTTCAGCTACATAAGTAACTTTAGGTGTAACAGGAGCATGGAGTTGATCATGAAGTTGTTGAGGGTGCTGAGAATGTTTCAGAAGAACCAGAAGAGCAGCAAATAAATGTATTGCTTCAAGTTTCTTCATCACCGTGAGATATGGCAAAAACAGGGTGTCTAGTTCTGTGTGAGCCAAACTTGGTCTCCGACTCCTAGGCA